TATCCCCCAGTGCATGCTGGGACTTGTAGTCTCTGGACTCCATCCTACCCAAGTGTTACCCTGAAATCTGAGCTGCTTGGCCACCCCTGTTCTCCAGAAACTAGGCACATTTGGGCCCCTGCGCTGCCAGGAGGCATGGGCCCTGGAGCGGCTGCTGCGGGAAGCCCGAGTGCTTGAGGCAGTGTGCGAGCTCAGCAGGCTATGGGAGATCCCTGTCACCTCTGCCCAGGAAGGTAAAGGCCCTGTGGGCTCTGGCTCTGGTATCCGCCCTGAAGCTCCTACCTCACCCCACCCCAGTCTACATACCTGCCCACCCACCTGCCTGCTGCGTTGCTGACAGTTTCCTGCACTCCTCACAGTGGTGCAGTTCTCGGCCTCTCGACCCGGCTTCCTGACCTTCTGGGACCAGTGCACAGAGGGACTCAGCCCCTTCCTCTGCCCCGTGGAGCGGGTACTTCTCACCTTCTGCAACCAGTACGGTGCCCGTCTATCCCTGCGCCAGCCAGGCTTAGCCGAGGCTGGTGAGTGGGCTGCCTACCTGCCCCTCCTTCCATCCTGTCTTGGGTCCCTAGTGACAGGGACGTCAGGGAAAGCCAGGTCAGCCCACACAGACATGCCAGCTGAGAGCTGAGGGGAAACAGCAAAGCCTCATGCTTCGGAGCAAAGGACCCTAGATGGGTAGGGTTTGGACGGGATCCCTGGGCCTGAGCCTGGGATGGGAGCATTCTCTTCCCTCTAAAAGCCTGGGTCCATCTCAACACTGAGGCCTGTTGTGCTGCCTCCCGCAGTGTGCGTGAAGCTCCTGGAGGATGCCCTGGGGCAGAAGCTGCCCAGGAGGCCTCAGCCAGGCCCTGGAGAGCACCTCACCATCTTCCAGTTCTGGAGTTACGTTGAAACCCTGGACAGCCCCTCCATGGAGGCCTACGTGACTGAGACTGCTGAGGAGGGTGAGGCAGTGGCCCTTATCACAAAGTGGCCTGACCCCTTTGGGTGGGTCTGAGGACATGAGGATGAGACCTCCTCACACCAAGAGGCTCCTTGCCCTGCCACCTTGTCCCACCCCCACCTCCACCTTCTTTCAGTGCTCCTGGTGCAAAATCTGAACTCAGATGACCAGGCTGTCGTGCTGAAGGCCCTGAGGTTGGCACCTGAGGGGCGGCTGCGAAGGGATGGGCTTCGGGCTCTCAGCTCCCTGCTCGTCCATGGCAACAACAAGGTCATGGCTGCTGTCAGCACCCAGCTCCGGAGCCTGTCACTGGGCCCTGCCTTCCGGGAGAGGGTGAGTTGGGCAAGGATCCTTAGAGGGCAAGGGCCGGGGTCCCAGGCTCCCACTGTCTGGCTGAATCTGCCCTCCCACCCTCACCCAGGCCCTCCTGTGCTTCCTGGACCAGCTTGAGGATGAGGATGTGCAGACTCGAGTGGCTGGCTGCCTGGCCTTGGGCTGCATCAAGGTGACCCCTGCCAACCCACCCACCCTTCCTCTTCCCTCCCAGTACCCCCACTCTGAGCCTCTTCTGTCTGCTCCCCTGGGCCCCCCTAATGCTCCCTCCTCTGACAGGCTCCCGAGGGCATTGAGCCCCTGGTGTACCTGTGCCAAACAGACACAGAAGCAGTGAGGGAGGCTGCCCGGCAGAGCCTGCAGCAGTGTGGTGAGCTGGGGGATGGGAGAGAGGGGTCAAGTGGGGTTCTGGGACATCTTGGCTGATGGGAGGAGTAGAGATGGGGCCAGGGCGGAGCCTGATCCCATCCTTACACATCACAGGTGAAGAGGGACAGTCTGCCCACCGACGGCTGGAGGAGTCACTGGATGCCCTACCCCGCATCTTTGGGCCCGGCAGCATGGCCAGCACAGCATTCTAAGCCGTCCGCCCACCGGCTCCCAGCGCCCCTTCCCCCGACTTTCAAGGCTCACCAGGCGCTGGCAGGGAGGGTGAGGGCTGGCTCCAGACATCCCTCCCCCCCAGATTCCTATCGATGAAAATCTAATATATTCTTCTGTTGCCCCTGGGGTTGGCAGTCAGTGCCTGCAGTCAAGTGCCTCCCAGCCTCGGCTCAGCACATCCCTTGTCACAGATCAGTGTCTGGGGCCCAGCCACCCTGCCTCCACCCCACCACCTCTTTTGGTTTTGTATTTTATTTACAGAGTTTTACAGAATATAAAAAAGCAAATTGCCTTTCCTACGTGGCCTAGTGCATTCCTGACCCTCTGTTCCAACACCCTCTGGCTGAGGGCCTTCCTGACACTAATGTGTCACACTCCAGCTGTGACAGTGGCCGGTGCACTTGCCCTGGAAATCTGGGTAGAAGAAAGCCCAGAGGCTGGAACTTGGAACTGGGCTAGGAGGAGACAGCAGGGGAAGAAGGTGGGAGGCATTGCTGAGGACACTCAGCTTGCAGGCTGGGCCTGCCCTGGGCCTGGGAACTGCGGGCCCAAGGTGGAGCTGAACTGTGGAGTTGGCCCAGAGAAGGCCCAAAGGGCACCAGTCCTGGGAATGGCTGTGGCCGGGTGCAAACAGGCAGGAAAAGGTGGTGCAGTGTGGCTGGAGCTCCTGGCCAGCAGGGGGCAGCAGAGCCACGTCAGCAGATGCCAGGCTCTGCGTCTTCTCCCGTCTTCTGCCCAGGCAGCTTCCTCCAGAGTAAGCTCAAGGAGCTCCTTGAGTCTGGGTGGCAAGGGAGAGGAGGGCCTTGCAGAGGGGAAGAGCTGGGGCCTGGGAGGCAGGAGACCCGGATGGCTGCCCTGTGACCCAAGACAGTAAGTCCCTTCCCTCCCCGGCCGCCTCCCTCTCTGTAATAACAAATCTGGATGATTCCTGTGGGCCCCCAAACCAGCAGCCCCACGCTGCTTCAGGAAGCAGGACTCCCTGGACAGGGCCCACCTCGCCCCCGAGCTGCCGGGCTCGTGAATGAGTCAACCCCAGAAGGCTGAGTCCTGTGTGAGCCCAGAAGGCTTGAGTCCTGTGTGAGGAACTGAGGGTGGGGCGGGACTTTGGGATGGCAAGCTGTTCTGAGCAGGGCCCGAGAGAGGCCCACACCCACTGCTACAGCAACAGGCCCTCCACCCTTCCCCTGTGCCTCCAGAACTTCCATTAGCCAAGGGCAAGTGAGAGGGTGCATGGCAGGGCCCCCTACTGTCCTGGTGCCTGTGGCAGCAGCACAACAGCACGACAGCATGTGCTCTAAGGTGTCATATTGGGGAGTGTGTGTCCCTGCACTTAAGAGAGGCCAACAGTCCCTGGTGTGGGGGGGTGACCCAGATCCCGGGGGAGCCCGCCCTGCCCCCCAGTGTTTTAGAGCTGTGCATGAAAGCTTTGGCTGGGGCCTTAACCACCTGCTGGGGAAGCCAAACTGAGCAGAAAAAAAAAAAAAAACGGCAACAGGAAGGCGCACAGGAAACACCTGTGTGTGGATGCAGGTGGCTCATTCCAAACGGGCCGGGGTGGGGGCAGGGGCAGAGGCAGGGACAGGCAGACAACCCTCAGCACACTGCCACAGCTCTGGGCTCCCTCTGTGACTGTGAAGGGTAGCATGGGCAGGATGGCGCAACCCAGTTTTTTGGGTGGTCAGCTGGGGCAGCGTGAGGTGCCAAGGCAAAGAAGCTGGCACCCAAAGCTGGTGGAGGCTGGTGGCTCATGCCTGTAATCCCAGCACTTTGGGGGACCAAGGCAGAAGGATAACTTGAGGCCAGAAGTTGAAGGCCAGCCTGGGCAACACAGTGAGACACCATCTCTACAAAACACTCTGTAAAAATTAGCCAGGTGCAGTAGTCCTAGCTGCTCAGGAGGCTGAGGCTGGAGAATCGCTTGAGGCCAGGAGTTCAAGTTTACAGTGAGCTATGATCACACCCCTGCACTCCAGCCTGGGTGAAAGAGAAGGACCCTGTCAAAAAAAATAAAAACAAAGCTGGCCTCAGCTTGGGCTTGCCCCTTGGGGCCCTGCAGGAGGGTAGCAGTCCTACAACCACCCCTAGGAGCTGCTCGGGCCTCAGATCTCACAAGAGGCCCACTGGTAGGGCAGGACCGTCCACTTGTCCACTTACATCGAAAGCACAGCCCACATGGTGGGGAAAGAGGAAGTAAACACTGGCTGGTCAGGTCCTGGGAAAGTGCAGATGGGGGTGACTGGGCCAGCAAGAGCTCACAGCGCAATCGCAGGAGAGGGCAGGGTTCGGGCAAGAAATGGAGGACAGAAAAATATTCATCCCAGCCAGGGGTCAGCTGGGCTGTCACTGAAAATGGCAGCTCTCAATGCTGGGAAGAGACAGGACCCCGGCTCTGTCCTCTACAAGGAGGGTCCTGAGGCCTGAGGCTAGTACTGAGCTCTAGCTGAGGGTGGGGGTGAGTGGGAGCTAGAATTAGGCTCACAGTACATGAACACAGGGAAAGAACTAGGACAAAGATGGCCTAGTAGACCCTCAGGCCTTTGCCCATCTAGCCTACCTGGCTCACAGCAGCATAGATCAACCCCAGGACAGCCACTCGACCCTCTCCATCCATGGCTTGAAACCAGGCTGATGGCTGCCTACACTCAGGCCCAGGCCTATAAGGTGGTGGAAGACAAGGAGAACCCTTGTCTCCCACCTGTAGACCTTCTCCCACCCCGTCCACCTCACAGGTGCCTCCCACAGGTCTTCATACAGGGCCAGCTGCCCTACAGCACGCCCCCCACGTCCTGCCCTGTCATCATGCATGTTTCGGGAGGCACCTGTCCCTGCTGCCTTGGCCTTGGGATAGCTGGGAGCCTGCTGCGCCAGGTGATGGGAGGTTGATGACACCATCAGTCATCAAGGGTACCAGGACAGGGAAATCCTGTGCCCAGCTGTTCTGTGGAGCCTGTGCCAGCCTCTGTGAGGGGACAGATAAAGTGGGCCTGTGACACACTAAGTAATGCCCATCAGTTAAGTCCATCGAGGCCACAGCATATGCCTTGGCCACTGTCCATGGGGCTCTGCCCAGAGGAGACTCATACCCATGCAGAGCAAAAAAGGGGCCAGGCTGCAGTGGTCCATGGTACAGTTTATTGTGTTGGTGGTCGCTGGAACAAACCCCCTCCCCTCCTTTCTTCTTGCCTCTTCCAACCTTACCTTTCCTCCTGTCTCCCACTCTTCTTCTGCATGTATTCAAAACTGCAGAGAAAAAAAAAAAAAGAATAAAGAAAAAAAGGCATGTTTCTGGAGGCAAAGAAGCAGATGGGTTGGCACGTGGGAAGAGGACTGCCGCTTTGTCTCGCCCACGGAGCAGGGGTGCCTTCCTTGTGTGTTCCTGTGCCTGTTGTGTGGGTACAATTTGCTGAACCCCAGGCATGTGACATGACCCCGCCTTTCCCTCTGTCCCCCCAAACAGCCCTGGAGTGTCCTGTTCAGGCCATCCATCCCCCACAGACAGAGGCTCTTGGTTTGGCTGCCAGGCCTGGCTTTTCTGGGCCTGGATGATACCAGAAAGCGAGCTTGGGAAGGACTCCAGTGCCTCATATAAACTGCTAAAGACGCACAATCTATCGTTTAGGAAATAAGACTGCCATTGGCCTGTGAGAAAGGGGCCTCTTGTTTCAGAAGGCTGCAACCGGGCGATGCCCACTAGTCTGAGTACAATGTCAAGGGTCAAGTCTCACTTGTCTCTGAATATACTACAGGGCAAATGAACACGCAGTAAGTGCTGGCTTAGAGCAGCTGAATTGCTGCGGCTCACACCTACATTTCTAGCTATCTCCTCTGAATCTCTTTACACCCTTCTCCTCCTCCTCTTCTGGCATCCTCCCAAACTTCACTCCACAGGTTCCATTCTAGGCCCTTTTCTCCTCTCTCAAAACACAGCCCTGGACACCCCACCCCCCAAATCCCTTCCTCTGGCTTCTTTCTGCATGCTGAGGCTCATGTCGGCCATTCATACCACTCTCGCCTCGCTGCCACAGCTGCTGACCAGACACTTCCTTTCCGCTGTCCAGGGCATTTCAAACTCAACATGCTCAGAATTGAACTCGGCATCTTCTCCAAACCTGTTTCTCCTCCAGGGTTCTCAGGGTTCTCAACTACCCAGGTGCCCAAGTCACGCATCTGGGCTTATCCTTGACATTTTCGTCTGTTCCCTCATTCCAACCATCAGAATCCTCTCAATTAAATGCCCCAAATATTTCTAAACTCTGTCTACATCTTTTTTTTTTTTTTTTTGAGACAGGGTCTTGCTGTGTCACCCAGGCTAGAGTGCAATGGCATCATCGTAGCTCACTGCAACTTCAAACTCCTGGCTTCCTCCTTCCTCGGTCTCCCAGAATGCTAGGATTACAGGCATGAACCACCACACCTGGCCCCTTGTCTACATCTTTTTATCCCCACTGGCACCACTCAGGTGCAGGACAGACACATAAACCTCTCTCCTAGACACTCAAAATGCCTCCTCACCAGCTCCCTACCTCTGGTCTTGGATCCATTCTCCACGATGTAGTCACAGTGATTTCTAAAACATAAATCTACCACTACAGGCTCTTCTCTTAGGGAAAAGCTCAGCCCACTCCACCTGGCTCACAAAGCCCTTCGTGCCTGCTCCCCTCTGCAGCCTCATTTCTGCCCCCTCGCTTCTCACTCTACTCAGGACTACTTGCAGAGCTCTTTTGCCCCTGGGCCTGGTACTGCTCCCTCCCTGGTACCCTATCCCACCCCTCTGTTGCCTTGCTCACACCTGCTCTCCTGACAGCTGTCCACCAAGACGTCACAAATTTTTTAAAGAAGTACCTCCTCCACTTGCTCCTGCCACCGGAGCCTTCGCTTGCCCTGGCATAATCCTAACCACATCTCGTTGCAATTGCTTACTTTGTACCCTCTGGAACATAAGTCCATAATATTTGCTAACTATTTTACTAGGTAATGGGAACTACCCAGGTCTAGGAAAGACAATGAATGTCTTTCCATGAAACTTGGTCCAAGTTATTGTTTTAAACAGCTTTATTTGTAGTCACATATCATGCAATTCAATCAAAGTGTACAATTCAATGGTTTTTAGTATATTCACAGAATTGTACAACCATCACCACCATTTTAGAATATTTTCAATGACTCAAAAAGAGACTCTGCAGCCCTTAGTTATCGTCTCCAGACCCTCACAGTCTCCCCTCTGCCACCAGGCAACTGCTAATCTACTTTTTGTCTTTATAGATTTGCCTATTCTGGATATTTCTTATAAATGAAATCAGGTTAGGTCTTTCCAACTTACTCAGTTCTAAGATTCACCTGAGAACTTCCCTGGAGATTCACATTCAGCTGGTCTGGCTTGGGGCCAGGCAACTCTCTATTTGCACAGGCCTTTACTAGCACCAGTATCCAAAGCAGGGACACAGTAAGTGGTAAGAATTATCTTTTTTTTTTTTGAGACAGGATCTTGCTCTGTGGCCTGGGCTACAGTACAGTGGCATCATCACAGCTCACTGCAACCTCAAACTCCTGGGCTCAAGTGGTCCTCCTGCCTTGGCCTCCCAAAGTGCTAGGATGACAGGCATGAGCTACCATGCCCAGCCAAGAAATATCTTTTGATGAATACCTCCAAAACCTGTCTCTAGCTCCCTATATCCAACTCTCCAACTCATGTCCTACTCTTATCTCAAAAGCAACCTTTTGGGGTGGGCATGGTGGCTCACGCCTGTCATCCAACCACTCTGGGAGGCCGAGGCAGGAGGATCGCTCAAAGTCAGGAGTTTGAAACCAGCCTGAGCAAGAGCAATACCCCATCTCTACTAAAAAAAAAAAATAGAAATTAATTAGCCAACTAAAAATATATAGAAAAAAATTACCCAGGCATGGTGGTGCATGCCTGTAGTCCCAGCTACTCGGGAGGCTGAGGCAGTAGGATCGCTTGAGCCCAGGAGTTTGAGGTTGCTGTGAGCTAGGCTGATGCCACGGCACTCTATCCTGGGCAATAGAGTGAGACTGTGTCTCAAAAAAACCTTTTGAAAACCTTTTGAGTTTGAAATTACTGTATGTTTAATGCAGAGAAAGCCTGGAAACTCAAAGCAGTGTCCCCAGTCCCTCATGGGGCACAGCTCTTTGGAATACACTTTGACCACTGGGATCCCATGTAAGGAGTGGAAGCAGAGCCTGAACCTGGGATGACAGAGGGCAGGAGAGCTGTGGTCAGACTGGTAGAGGAGGCAAGCAAGCTGAACCGATAGGAGCCTGGAGGGTACAATTAATAATGAGGCTGTAGAGACGAGCAGGGGCTTGGTCATGGGAGGCCTGTGGAGTGGCTGAGGAGTTCGGAATTTGCCCCCATCACTGGGAAGCCAACCACGGGCTTGAAGTAGGAGAATTTTGTGGTTACATTTATGCTTGGGAAAGGTCACTGTGGCAATCATGTGGATTGAGGAGGCAGGAAGTAGGGAGAAGTCTGCAACTGTGGTCAGAAGCATCAATAATGATCTGGGCCAGAGTAGGGCAGTGGAGACAGGGGGAGCTTAGAGTGAAGAGATATTCCAAAAGCAGAGTGGACAGGGTTTGGGGACTGATGGGAGGAGGTGCTGAGAAAAGAAAGCACAGGTTTCTGGTCTGGATGATGGATGGATGGTGGTATCTTTTACTAAGCTGGGAGCCCTAGAGAAGCAGATGAGTGACAAGACAGGTAAGGGTGGCCCAGAAGCCATCCAAGAGGAAGTGTCTAGAAATAAGCTGGGTGTATAGCCCTGGGGCAAGGAGAGAAGGGTATGGACTCAAAGCAGAAGCTTGAGTTATCCTTGCTGTACTGTGGAGTTTCATCACATGCTGTGATGTCCAGTGACCGTTCTGTTCCTCCCACACCTGTAGCCTATACCTTCACACTTGCCTTTTCCTTCTTGACTTTCACCTAATCTCATGAGGTTTAGTCTGGTCTCTCCACACTAATATAAGACAAAATACAAGGCACTCTCAGGGCTAGGGACATGACCTATCTCTGGTATTACCTAGTCTTGAGCATAAACCCAGGTCCTGAGCAGTTTATTTTGGACATACTTAATAATTTCACTTCAAATACTTCTGCTACCTGCCTGCCAAAGTGTCTGAAATGTCTACCATTGAAGCCTTTCCTTTGGGTTAAGGCAGTAGTGTCCAACTTCTTTTAAGGATAATAATCTTTTTCCCCCTAAATAAATCACATAAAATCTGGAGTAGGAGAGGTCAGGGAGCAGGGAGGCCCAGAGCCTCCCTGATAGATCTCTGTTACCCTTCCAAGGCAGCCCCAAGGCTAGAGCATCATCTCCAGAGGATTGCTATAAACATGGAAATGTTATCGGACAGAGTGAGGAGCTCTGAGCAGCCAATGGGAGAATAGGAATAGAGAGGGTAGGGCTGGAAGACCTGAATACAGTAGTCCCCACTTATCCTAGGGGGATACATTACAAGACCCCCCATGGATGCCTGAAACCACAGATAGTACCAAATCCTGTATATACTATGTTGTTTCCATCTGATAACTGAGATGGCTACAAAATGACTAATGATTGGGTAGTGTATACAACATGGATATACTGGACAAAGAAATGATTCATGTCCCAGGCAGTATGGGGTGGGACATTGTGAGATTTCATCACAATACTCAGAATGGCATGCAATTTAAAAATTATGAATTGTTTATTTTGAGAATTTTCCATTTAATGTTTGTAGACTACAGTTGACCTTGGGTAACTGAAACCTCAGAAAGCAAAGCTGTGGATAACAGGGGCTACTAGACTCATTCTGGTTTTCTAACAAGTTGCTGGACAACCCTAAGCAAGTCACTTCATTTCTTGAATTTAAGACAAAACTATGCCTGGACCACCACACAGAGCAGTGAGCATCACTTCAAAAGGCAGACGCAAAGGTGTTTTGCAAAATGAAAAATATACTGATGAGATGGGTTATTAAAGGATGATCAATGCATGCTTGGATCAATACATGCAGGTAACAGCACAGAACAAAATTACCCTGCTTTCTAAGCGGATGTAGGTCTAGGTAAAGTTCTTTAGACTTTAGAGAGCAGTCATTTGAGCTGAGAGGTAAAAAAATAAATAATATGGCTTCACAGGGGTCTGAAGAAAACTGACATCAACAAAGGGGAAAACAATTCCTGCGGTCTGAGCAGATGATGTGGAAGAGCAGGTCTTTAAAATGTTAGAAGTGGTTGGCCT